TGATGGTGACCCCTGACCTACTGTACACCCGGGTCTCCTCATCCGCACCTGACCTATCCACATATTCAGAATTTTCTAACCTTTCGTGCATCCAACTTCCAGTATGCTCCCAGACACTGAAAGCCAGATTCTGTGGTATTTATTACATGAGCTATATAAGTAAATGGGGTCATCCAGTTCAGGAATGTGACCTCTCATGCCCTCTCCCCGGAACACCATCCAGGGAGAGTCATTCCTCTTCCAGCTCCTGAAGGTGGTAATTAAGACGTGAAGGGGTGAGGACTGGGTGCTGGCTGGGGTGGAGTGTGAGGGGCCGAGCTGTTGCTCCCTGGAATAGTGACGCTCATCTCTAGGACAGCTGTGAGAGCGGCCGCTTTACCCAGAGCCTGCTTTACGGAATGTGAATCATTCCCCCTTTTGAGTTTTTCCAAATAGATCCTTGCCAGGGAAAGACTGGTTGTAATAATGCTTTCTTCTATTTATTAATAACTTGTAAGAACTTGGGGAATATAATTTATATTTTATTCCCTAAATTATTTTCATACATAGTTTAATGTTTGATTTTTAGCAGTAAAATTGAATATAAATAGAATAAGAACTGTTCAGGTTTTTGAGACACAGAGCAGCCAAATGACTTGCCAACAGTCAACGCAGCGGCATCAGGACAGGGGTGGAGCTCTCTGTGATGTGGACGTTCTGAGCTGTGTCCAGGGAGGTGCCCTAACCCCCTGTCTCCCTGTACATTGTAGGGGCTCCCTCCTCTCCAGCCTCCTTCCTCACACAGATAGATAAACAATGGGGAGTGAGGGCCAGTACATTCACTGTGCGGGGCTTGTCCTGGCCGAGGTCTCACCAGCTGTGTTCCCTTTCAGCCTGGAGGAAGGCCCAGCTGTACGGGGGTAAGTGACTGAGTCTCCTCTGGCCTTCCCTACCCGGCCGCCCTGCTATTCTCCCTCAGGGTCTCTGCACTAGGATGGCTCAGGTCCTCACTCTCCTCCGTCAGAGACTGCAGGGAGCACAGCTCTGCCTCTGCTCGGGGCTCTTCCTCTACTACAGTCACTGTAGGGTCAGCTACACTCTCTTAAAACACCTTATTCAACTGCTATGTCTTTGTTTTTAAAGCGTTTTTGCTATCGGGCATGTGAACTCACTGGAGACAGAGAGAGAGATAGAGAAAGCACAACCCAGGGGGCTACAGGGTGGGGTGGGATTGGGGATGGGCACCTCACAATCCCTTCTCTGCTATTCTTCTCTCACAGTTTAGGCATGGTCACACATACATGCAGTGTGTTTTTCAAGCCACCGGGTCCAGGACGTGAACCTCGATGTTGGCCCTGTGGGATCCAACTGCCCTAACCACCGTGTCACTTGCTGGGCCCCAGTGCTACTTCTTGTTGGTGCGGTGACAACGGAGAGTTCAGCTGTGAGGAGAGTTCAGTGTGAGAGTAATGACTGTACTCAGGAGTTCCGGTCCCAGAAAGTTTTAGAAATTATATTCGACTGCTTAGGATGCAGGTCTCCCTTCAGGGGCCCTCAGTTCTGGATCTCCCCTACCCTGAAACTCTTGTATCTTTGTATCTAGTTTTGGTTTTCCATTTCTTCCTGATCCTCTGGGATATTGGTCTTCTCTCTGTTTTTTCAAGCTCTGACTTTCTGTTCAAGATGAGTGTCTTCCTCTAAGCCTCCCTGGTCACTGAGGAATCAGTTGTTTGGAATCTGGGGTCCTAGGCCTCTAAGATGTTTATGGCCTTGGGGTGGGTTTGTAATGTTTTTTTTTTTTAAAACTGTTGTCTGTCCTTTTAGGAGACTTTTAGGAGAACTCTGTTTTACCTGAATGCTCAGTTCTTGACTTTTTGTTTTGTTTTGTTTTGCTTTTTTTTTTTCTTTTTTTGGGTGAGGGGTGAAGATAAAAAAGGAAAAAAAAGTAGAGAAATTAAAATTATTGACCAAAGAAAGGATGGAGAGCAAATCATAAAAAACAAAACAAAACAAAAGAGTAGGAGGGGATGAGTGTAGGAGGTGACAAGGAAATAGCGTGTCTGAGACTGGCTCTGTAGAGGCTGGGGGACCCAGAGGGTCGGGCGAGACCACA